TCAGAAATTTTAAATCTTTAAATATTTATTGTCTACCCCTTTCTACTTTGAGAATTCTAATTATATGAATATAAGTTTCTTGATGTTCACACGAAGTGAACTATTATATGACTGATCTGTTAATTCTTCATTTTTATTTTGGACAATTTTTATTGTTATATTCATTTCAGTTTGTAAATAATTTATTTAGAATGTGCAATCTATTATTAATTTCATGCTGTATATTCATTTCAGAAATATTTCTCTAAAATTCACTGTCTACATCTTATATCTTTCACATTTCAATATTTGTCTACAATTTTTAATATATCTAATTATTGATTTTCAATAAAGTTAATGAAAACAACAAAAACAAAAACAAAATGAAGCAACCGCTTCTTTCATTCCACAGCAGACGCTGACACATCACATACTTGGCAATTTTTGCTTTTTTCACTACTTTCTCTTTCTCATTGATGAATCTATCAAAGCACGTTGAGTCCAGGTAGATCCTCCTTCAACCCCCTTCATTGCTCAACTACAATGGGTGGTGGAAATTAAGGTTTTTGGTAGAGTATAGAGGCCTCTGTATTGTAAGGTTTGTAGGATTTTCAAGAATCTCACTTGGCCCCCTCAAAAAGACTCAGGGTGAGTCCTGTCCAGGTAAGACAGCTCTACTGCATATGGGAGCCCTGAGGCAGGCAACATGAGGCAGAGGTGTGAGACTGCCTGGCTGGTGTTTCTGGGCCCTGAGGGTAAATCCATAGCTTTCCAGCCAAGGCATGGACCAAACTGTTCATCCTTTCTACTCTATTGCAGAGACAGCAAACTGTTTCTAAGCAGAGCAGGTCACACCACACCTCTGGGCCTCTGGGTCTAAATCCACCTGTAACCTGACCCACCACCATCTTATCTGTCCAAATCTAGGGAGTCCCTCCTGAAAGCTAAGCCCACTCTGTCCTGTGCTGGACCTCGGGCAAGGCACCCCTCGAGTGCTATAACATAATTCATAATCTTGAGGGAAGAACATTTGGGCCTTAACTAGGGCTACGAGGATCCCAAGGGAGAGGTCCCACTGCCACTGTGTCGTGCGCAGACCATATGCAGTGAAGATCAGTAGAAATGACAGCACTGGATGTAGTGCTTAATGGCACTAAAGTGAATGGCATCCACTGTGATATTGTCTATCCTCTGTAAAGGCAATAGCTCCTCCAGTGTGGCCCCAGGGATGATGTCCCAGGGAAGATGCCCCAGTGGCCAGGCTCAGGTTAAGGTCACAAAGTTGAGAATGATTCTGTGTCTATTATAATCCGTAAAGCAGTTTCCTATCTGAGTTTTCAGAGCAAGTCCTTCTGCCTCATTTTCTCCATGTGAAGAAACTGAAACAGAGTGAAGGAAAAGTCTAGTCCAGACCACAGAAGCCCCAACTACATCTACACCGTGCAGCTATCATCACCCCAAGTCACATCCGTCGGGCAAGAGAACGATGCTCTTAGGATAACATGGGCAAACCAGCCTCACTTACATCATCCAGCTGCAGAGTAGCCACATGGACAGTCAGATGCCACGTGTCCCTCCTATCCCTGCTCCCCATCCCTAGAGCTGATGTGCCTGCCATACCTTTCTGAGGAGCTGTGCAGTCTTGGTCCAGAGTGGCAGGCAGAGGGGCTGGATGCTGGCCTCCTGTGGATGGGTTAGGATCCTTCATGCGGTGGACCACATTCTCAGATAGCTATGGGAAGGATTGAGGAATCAGAAGAGACGGACAGGACAAAGTTACATCACAGAAACTCCTAGCAATTAAAACTCCCTTTATTCATTCAAGACTTCCTGAACATAGTGTCCTTCAGACAAACTCTAATAATCTCATTTTATGCAAAACCTCCCATGATGGCAAATACTTCAGAGCCCCAGGGAAGCAAAGGTTGAAAGTTCAGGAACTGAAGTGGGGGCTGAATTTCTTGCCCAGCACAGAAGCACCTTGCATTTTACAAAGATGTCAGTGGTACCCTGAGTCTTTTCACAATTTGAAAGAAACAAATAATGAAAGAAAGCAAAAATGTTCTTCATATCAACAAATTTCTTTGGATGGTCCAAATTGGAGGGAGCACAGACACAGGAAAACATATCAAGGAGAATGACTATTATACTCCCACTGGGGAGTTCCGTGTGGATCGTGAGGGTTCTCCAGTGTTGCTCAACTGCCTCATGTATAAAATGTGCTACTACCGCTTTGGGCAGGTCTACACAGAAGCCAAGCGTCCACCAGGCTTTGACCGTGTCCGAAATGCTGAGATTGGGAATAAAGACTTTGAGCTTGATGTCCTAGAGGAAGCATACACTACAGAACACTGGTTGGTCAGGATATATAAGGT